GAGACCTTGTTTGCGAGGCAGGTAGCAGAACCACTGAGCTAAATCCCGGCCCATACTCGTCAGAGCTTAAATCCATACTCACACAGCATGCATAAAATTGTCACATATGTGCTGTTTTCAGCCACACGGATTATAGACATGATGCTAGTTGTATTTCTAGAATAAGAATTGAAATATTCATGTGTTGTTTTTGATACTCTACATATTCTTTAATATAAGATAATTCTTATTCTCTAGGTACCATTTACTATTTTGTTTACAGAATTTTATATCTTTTCTCATGAGCAATAATTACTTTTCTCCCCTTTCATTAGATATTTTATTCTTTCTATTTAAAATGACAAATACTTATGTTCACATAATAGAGATTAAAGAATAAATGTTAATGCCTTTATTTCTTTAAGACCATCATTTCTGAAAGTAAGCAAATATTTTACTTCTTTTTAAACTAACTTGGTAAATTTCAAGATCAATTTTGTTGTGGAGTTTTCCTTGAGTCTTTTATCCTCTTACAATCAGGAGCCAACAGAGAAGAAATAACCAAGCATTGGGATTGGTTGGAACAAAATATCATGAAGACCTTATCTGTGTTTGACTCAAATGAAGATATTACTAATTTTGTACAAGGAAAGATAAGAGTAAGTGATATGGGTATATTTTTAAAGTGGAATACTAAAAACTTTGACCCTTTTATATAAGGATCAGAGGTTGCATAAAAGTTTTTTTGTTTACTGACACCTTCAGGATTAATAGAAGCACACATACAAATGCTTGACTAGTGCTTAACAAAATTATAAGGCCATGGTTTATCTTTGATGCCTTTGTGCAATTCTTAGCAATATTTTCATTTCAGTATTTCTTGAGTTGGAGGTTGAAAAAGCCTTTTGTTCATTTAAAAGAATACAGTTAACATCTGTATTTGTGGTAGCTCCTTGTGAGACAATAAAAAAACACTAGAACAAAGAAATTCTGCTCACCTCTCTCCTAGGAGAAGTATGTATGTGTACATGTAACATATAGATATATACAATTGTATTCAAACAGCTATTTAAAATTAAATATATTTTTGTTGGTAGGTGATAATAAATTTTCAGAAAATATTTTGTCTTCTCTAGGGATTAATTGCCGAAGAGGGAAAACATTCTTTTGCAAAAGAAGATGATCCTGAGAAATTTCGAGAAGCCCTTTTGAAATTTGAAAAATCATTTGGTTTACCAGAGCAGGAAAAATTAGTGACCTATTATTCGTGCAGTTATTGGAAAGGACGGGTTCCTTGTCAGGGTTGGCTCTACCTTAGTACCAACTTTCTGAGCTTCTATTCTTTTTTGTTGGGATCAGAAAGTAAGTGGTTTCTGTTGCTTACCATGGCTTTGAATTTGCTGACTGACCTATCAACTTTGTGCTAGTGTTAGGTTGTATATAAAGTACTTACTTGGATGCATATTAAAGGTAATTAATCAAGAAGTTCATTTCATCTAGAGTAAATCCTTTTAGGTCTGATTGCTTAACAAGGAAACTATTAGACATATGTATGGAAAGCTTTGCACAGTGTGATAAGTGAATGACTATTAATAATAGCAATCTGGCATATAACTGCTTTCTTTCCTTGTTAAAAACTATCTACTTGATTCAGTCCATATTTTAGTCCTTGTTGTAAACATAAGACAGTAAATCTAGTAGACGTTGTGCTTAATGAGCCACATTTTACTTTGCAGCCACAAAGAGGGACAAACAGTATTATTTATCGCATATATATGGCTTTTATTCAGTGGTTACATAATTTTGTAGTTGCTATATAAACAGTTTTAAACATTAAATCAAAATCAGTTTTAATTCTTTAAAATTGTATCCATTCCTAAAATCACTGATTATTGTATATTTGTGGTGATCCTTCACAATTTTAACAAATCTCAAACTCTAAAGTATTTTAGCTGTTCACAGCATTTCTCGAGTTGCTATTATTTGAAAAGACCTGAATTACACATAAATCAGTATGAGAACATTTAATCATGCCTACTTACAACTCTTGTTTACAGTAAAACTCATTATCTCCTGGGATGCAGTCTCAAAACTTGAAAAGACTTCAAATGTCATACTGACAGAGAGTATTCATGTGTGTTCCCAAGGGGAAGATTACTACTTTTCAATGTTTTTGCACACTAACCAAACATACCTTCTTATGGAACAATTGGCAAACTATGCTGTAAGGAGACTTTTTGATAAGGAAACATTTGATAATGACCCAATCCTTGATGATCCTCTACAAATTACTAAAAGGTAATCAAAGCTTAATATTCTTATGCTAAGAACAGTAGCATTAATAAGCATTAAGTGTTATGTGATAGTTTTTGTTTGAACTTAATCATCAACAACATCATGTTAATCATCCCAACATCCTGTATGTTTTTGTAAATTTATTCATATGTATTTCAGATTGTTTCAACCTCTCCATGAAAATTTAATGCTAAGAAATAATAGAAATTATGTTTGAAAGTTATTTTTTCCTGATTTAGATAGGTTTTGCCCTGGAGTGCTTTTAGAAATGTAGAGAGGTTTTTGTGTGTATGGTTAGTCTAACTCTAATTTCTCTATAAGTAGTGTAGATAATTTCAGGTCTGCCATTGCTAACCATGTTAACGTTTTAAAATAATGTACACATGGCATAATTTTTATGATGAGTCAAGGTAATAGAGCTAGTAGTGCATGAACTTAAGAATAAAAACAGAAATACAGCCATAATGTCTCAGGACCTCAATTTCCTAATCTATTATTTCTACTTTAGAGAGCACTTACGAGTTGTGAGTGAATCACGTAAAAGCACTTTTTAAAGTGTAAACCACTAGGTAAATGCAAATCATTGTAAGTGCCTACATCAGAAGTATATGACTGATAGTAGCTATCTGCTGCTATATTCAGTTTGCTGGAACTGACCAGAGCTTTTTCATCCTGCTGAACACTCAGTCAAATAAACAGAGCTTGCCAAAGAGGAAGAGGAAAGTGGAGAATCCAGAAATACTAGTGAAAGCAGCTTTTGGCAAGGAAGATGAAGGTATAGACTGTATGAGAAAATATAAGAAGAATCTATGCCAAAGTTCTATGGATACACTGGCACAAATGACTTAGAGCATTGTATGACTATTACACAGCCCTAACTGGGTACAGTTGTTTCTCCTGCCTATTTCTAAACCATTCCTAAACTCCATATGAATAAGGATTCATATGTGAATCCTTACAAGAATTCCTTGTGATAATGCCTATTTTCTGGAAATCAGAATAGTTGGATATTTCATACTTTATTACCAAAATTAAGTCTCAACATGCATGATTTATAAGTAGATCTCTATAGGATTGGGTCTTGTTCATGCTATATTATAGTTGAATATTTGTTTTTGTAGTTTGTCCTTTGATTGTTTTCCATAAACAATCATTTTAACCATTTCATTTTCCTTAAAATCTCCTATAGAAGGTCATCTATCAATGAATTATTCATCGCCAAGTCTATATTTAAATGAAATATAGTAAATCCATTTTGTCTATTATTAAGAGAGCCTGTTGTGAGCCTATTAAATGTCTCCTTTCTGCTTGTTTTCACAAATATGTGTTACTTCTATAATTTAAATAATACAGAAGCGTGGAAATGATAGTTTAGTATTCATCCAGCCCTTTTAATGCATAAATTAGAAATATTTGTAAAAACTATGAGTGGGACTGAGCATAACATACTTTTTGTCTATCACAATAATATGTCATGGACATCTTTCTATTCATATAAATAGGCCATAATCATGCTTTTAAATGATAATGAAAATAACCCACCAAATTGCAACTTAAGTGAAGTCAAAATTAATATGGTTATCTGGTCACATTAATCAGAATTTTTTTGAAGTACCACATACTCAAACAATAGGTTCAGTGAGGATGAATTTGCTTTTAACTTTATTAGATTTAAATTAGAACTTGTGTAATTCATTTACTACCCCAGATAGCATTGCTGCTTAACATAAGTGTTTAGTGCCCCTAGAAAAATTACACTATTTAAAGTGATTGCTTTTTACTTATATATTTGTTTCAGTTTACAGGTCTTTTCTGTTTATCAACAACTATTCTGTGCCAGACACTAGGCAAGCAGAATGCTATTGTATTATTTCTCTACTTTGGATGTTTTATTTTTTAACTGAGTTTATTAGTACACTTTAGATATACCTAATGATCACATTTATTATAGGGAATTTTTACCTACCTAATATATTTTGATTCTTCTTTTTTCCCCAGTTTCATCCTATTCCTTTGACCCTTTTTACCCTCCTTATTTACAAAAGCTTAATTTCCATTTATTTCCTTGTACAGTGGACCCTTGACTTACAAACTCAATTCATTTGCTAGGGCTGGTTGTAACTCAAGTTGATTGTAAGTCAAGACTATTTCTCCCATCAGAAATAATGGAAATACCCAGAATGAATTCTGAACCCTTAACCAACCTTTTCATAATAAAAAAAGTGACTTTTTACTTATATATTTGTTTCAGTTTACAGGTCTTTTCTGTTTATCAACAACTATTCTGTGCCAGACACTAGGCAAGCAGAATGCTATTGTATTATTTCTCTACTTTGGATGTTTTATTTTTTAACTGAGTTTATTAGTACACTTTAGATATACCTAATGATCACATTTATTATAGGGAATTTTTACCTACCTAATATATTTTGATTCTTCTTTTTTCCCCAGTTTCATCCTATTCCTTTGACCCTTTTTACCCTCCTTATTTACAAAAGCTTAATTTCCATTTATTTCCTTGTACAGTGGACCCTTGACTTACAAACTCAATTCATTTGCTAGGGCTGGTTGTAACTCAAGTTGATTGTAAGTCAAGACTATTTCTCCCATCAGAAATAATGGAAATACCCAGAATGAATTCTGAACCCTTAACCAACCTTTTCATAATAAAAAGTGTTGTACAACATGCATAATTTACCAGAAACACAAATGATTTTCCTAGTGTATTCACCAAATGTTATTAAATGTGCCTGGTTTACCAGAAACAACCATTTCATACTGTACTCACCATTCAAGTTGACATCTTTGGCTTACAGGAAAGGAGGATGAAATGGAAGGTGGTTATTGTTTGGAAAGAGAGTCCCCTTCCATAAGAACATCAGGAATCTGGCTCTCTGGTGTCCTTTCTCTCCTTGAGAGGGTCTGTAGCCCACTAGGACCCACTTCTACCTCAGTAGGTCTCAACCTTTTCAGAACTAAAAACTGGTCTAAGGTTGTCTGTTTTTGTCTTTTCTTTAACGCTGCTCTGTAATATGACATGACATCATCATTAAGCAAGTGAATGCAATGATTGGCTTTTTCTCTGTCCGGGTGTGTCTTCTCAACAAGTGTTTGTAGTTCTGTCCATTTTTTCAGGATTTCCTTTATTTCAGAAGAACTTTGCTTCACTGATTGTTGATACTCCCCGTCTTCTTCAGAAAGCTCCTCAGCTGCCATTCTGGGTTGCTCAGCCAGAAGTTGCTGAGATTCCTCTGTAGACAATTCTCTAAGTGTTCCTCTGCCAGTTCCTCAACATCGCCTCTGTCTACCTGCAAGTCTACAGACTCTGCTGTAGCGACAGGGTCATCAACTACAGGGTCAATCGAAAGCTCAGGCTTCTCTACTCAGCCTTCAAAGTCTCTCTCCTGTATAATTTTAGGCCACAATTTCTTTCAAGCAGATCTCAGTGTCCATAGAGACATTGGCCAGGATTTCTCCATTAACACCACACAGGAAAGACTGGCATTTGGGTTATAACTCAAGACTTTGGTCGTAAATTAAAGCTAAAATTCCGGTCATAACACAAGTTGTTTGTATATGAGGCTGGACGTAACTCAAGTTCTCACTGTATTCTCTTTTTTTTTTCTTTTCCCCTTACCCTTTCCCTGTTCCCCTTACCATTTGAACATTTTCTTCCTGTTTCACAATCTGTATTATACATTTCAGTCCTTATTCACCCTTTTGATTTCTCACACCAGAGAAAAAAATGCAATATTTAAACATGTGTGTCTGATTTATTTCATTTAAGAGTATGGTCTCAAGGTGCATCCACTTACCTAGAAATGTCTCAAGTTTATCTTCCTTTATGGCAGAGCAGTACTCCATTGTGTAAAAAATCTACATCTTCTTTATCCATTCATCTGTTGGAGGGCATTTGGGTTGTTTCCAAGATTTAGCCATTACAAATTGTGCTACTATAAACATGAGGAGAGACTCAGAGAAGACCAACTTTGAATGTTTTAAAACATTCATTTAATAAATTTTGTTTGACCTGGATAACTCCCTCATTTTCTGATAATCAAATATGTAACTTACTGTCTGTCAAGTTTGGCTTCAGCCATAATCACATATTATAAATATATAATAATAGTCTTCCAGCAAATCACCCCTTAACAGATGGTTTGAAGACCTATGGCATCTCTAGCTTTTGTACATTTTAATCTACTAATAAAATTAAATTGGAAAAAAGAACAGACAAAATCTGCTTGGTAGAAATCATTGTATTTTTTCATTCCAGAATTCCTTGAAGAACATAACATTTAGTGTTTAATATGTCTGCTTCATATAACATTTAGATTAATCAATATAGGCATGTATACACTTTAAAATTCATCATTTGAAGCCCACCTCCCCCCTTTTTTTTTCTTTCCCGCAGAGGTTTGGAAAACAGAGCCCACAGTGAGCAATTTAATGCCTTTTTTCGGCTACCAAAAGAAGAGACCTTGAAAGAAGTACATGAATGCTTCTTATGGATACCATTCAGCCACTTCAATACTCATGGAAAAATGTGCATCTCAGAAAATTATATCTGCTTTGCTAGCCAAGATGGCAGTCTGTGTAGTGTAATCATTCCCTTACGAGAGGTGATGTAAATTTGTTTACATATCAGTTTTAATTTGTAAAATGTCCTTTAGTTTTATTAGAACTATTTTTACTGAAAGTAAAAATAGAAAAAATAAAAAATTTTAAAACCAGATAAGGATATTTAGGATGACATAATGAATCATACAGACTTTTAAGAAACGAATACCAAAATTTAGACTATCACATTGTGTGTCCTTTGTCAGAAAGAAAAAAAATGATAGCTTTTATGTTAGAAATAAATTGTCAGCATTTAGCACTGAATTTTTATGTTTGTATTATCAGTTTTAAAGGCTACATGTTAAATCATTTTCTTGAGAAATGAAAGATTACACCAAGGTTACTTGTATTATCGGCGCAACTAATACCTAAAGCCCATTTCTTAAGTTGCGCCATGGACTAAAACTTTACCACGAAAGAGTAAGTCACTAAAGGTGTAGGGAAGGTGGGACAGGTAGGGGAAGGGTAAAAAGGAAAAAGAAAGAAATGTGAGATAATGAAAAGATGGAAATAAAGTGGTTGTAGATGGGGAGGGGAGGAGGGGGTGAAGGGAGGGCAGGGACAAGGGGAAAAAAATGAGAACTAAGACCTGTCATGTAAAGGTACAAGATCCCAGTAATGAATGTAACTGTACTGTATCTCTAAAATGTACCAATAAATTCAATTAAAGCTGAAAAAAAAGAGTAAGTCAACCACATTTTACCTGCACGTGTAAGAAATAAGGAAAAATGTGATTCACTTATATTTCTTTTCAATCTCCAGGTCTTAGCTGTAGATAAGACAGATGATTCCAGCAAATCTGTCATCATTAGCATCAAAGGAAAAACAGCTTTCCGCTTTAGTGAAGTTAAAGACTCTGAGCAATTGGTGGCAAAACTCAGGCTCAAGTGTGGCACAGCTTCAAGTCAGTGTGATATTAGTACAGAGGTAATTATATATCAGTCAAATCATTTTGTGTTTTGAAGGTCTAGTCTTTCAAAAGGAATTAATATTACCTTTCATATTAATACCTATGTTTTTGTTAGAAGACTGATCTAAGTAAATTATATTCTCTAAATCACAGTATAAAGCAGAAGAGTTAAGGACTTTATCTTCTTTAGGAACTCATACTTTTAAAAGTATTATCATTTGAGCCTTATATTTTTGCTGGCTTTTGTATAAACATACCTTGTATTTTCATATAAATAGGCTTTTAACTCAAACTATATTTAAGATTTCAACAATGCTTTTGAAAATGATTTTCTTACTGTAGAGATAATTTAAAACTAATCTGGGGGCCGGGGATTTAGCTCAGTGGTTCCACCACCTGCCTCGCAAGCTCAAGGACCCGAGTTCATTGCCTGGAACCAAAAAAAAAAAAAAAAGCTAAAACT